AACCAAATACTGCAGAGTAAATTATTTCTAACACAATATAAGAGATAACTGTCTTATATTGTCTCAAAGACTAACCGTTTAAAAGTAACAGACTCACAGGCAAAATCAGCTGGAATCACTACCAGAGAAAAGAAGCTAAAATAGGAAACGGTTTGACTAAAAATCTCTTGGGATGATTGTTGTTATTTTATACCATAGTCAAAACATGCTTTCGTGTTCAATAAAATAGCACTATTTGTCAATTTTGGGGTCCCCACTAATTCTAGCTCCCCACTAAAATCTTGATTTTATGGCTAAAGCATGATTTAAAAAAACTAAAATGAAAGACAATGTATGCACACTGAATCGGGCTGCCCTTAAATGTATAATGATCTCTCAGAGATGAAGTTTAAAGTGGCTGAACAGGCATCAGCAATTTTCCACAGTCCACATCAAAGCAGCATCAAACAGGCACTGAGTCCATTAGTCGTTCCACTCTCCTGCATGTATACTGGGTTAAGAGCCATAGTCCACTTCACCAGCCAGGTCCAGCCATAGCGCCCAGTTGGCTCAAATACACATGTAACTATGGTGACCAATCTTCCCCTAGCCTCACATTTGATGTCAACAAAAATAAACGCTGAAAACAAATTAAAAAAGTAAAAAATGATTGAACTACAAAGTGCCTTATTTTACTTAATGTAGAAAATTTGATGTATGGTAAACAAGTATAAAATCATGCAAATCAACATACCCGATTAGTTTATAATTAAGTATTGGTTATAAGGCGGCTTGCATGGGCGATCAGCTAAACTTATACCTACAAAATTGAACAAACCGCTGTAGGAAACTCATACAAGGATACAATATTTCCAATTTGTGGATGATTTTCACATCAGGTAACAGATTTTCCTGTGTCGTGCTGTAATTTTTCTTCTACTCTTCTGCTGTATTTTGTCCAAAGTCTGCGTCAGGTTTCTCTGAAGCTCTCTCCTTCACAATCCCTACTTTGATTCTAAGCTAATGTGGGGCTGTGCTGGTTATCGTTGCCTGAAACGTTATCAGGTAGCTTTTCTTTTTTCCTTTAGATCAGAAGACTTCAGTGAGAATTCTGTTGTGGTGTCAGGCAAAGACTCGGGAAAGTCCAACGACTCCACAGTGGATCTGGTGGAAGCTGGAACAACAGAGCAGTGTTTGAACATCGTAGAGGGAGCAGTAAAGGGGAGAAGGAGAGAAAGAAAGCCTGCAGCGCATTCCCCGCAAGACACTCACTTCCTGTCTGCGAGTCTTACTCAGCACTCAGAAGAAAGCGAGGGATGAGGCCCTCACACATACAACCACAAATATGGGTATAAAAGCCAGCGGCCCCATCTTTGTATAATTCTAATCCCATTTTTATTCACTTATATACTCTGACTAGCAATATTAACTTTTACTCCCCCTTTAAGCAAACCAGTAACTTTACTAAATCAATTCATCCTCAAAAATACCTGGAATGACCATTTCTCCTCCTATTGCCATGAGGTGGCTGGATTAACAAATGACAGTATGTGGTTTGGGAGCAGGAAAACAAATTAGTTCAGTGTGGAAAATGATTCACTTAGTCTAATTGCAGGTTGTTACCACTCTTTCTTAGCAAACATGTTGTTAAGATTTGTGCATACACGAGCCCACCAGGAGGCTCAGTCACAAACACCGCTGAACTATCATCAGCACTAGTGTGCAGAGGAAACCAGCAGCTGGAGCTGTTCCACTTAACCCACACTCACAAGAAGACACTTCTAAAATCCACATGCAAACACGGAACACCTTGGACACTCGCTCCATTTGGATAATCCCGGTTAGAGAAAATGTTCCGTCTTTCCCACACTTGGTTTCGGTGTCTTCGTTATTACAGTGAAAAAGGGACAAACGTTTGCTTTCACTGTCCCCAGCACACACATAAAAAGCATCTTTACAGCATTCATGCCCCTGGTAAGGTCTCCAAGCCATTAAATTTGGAGTTCTATTCCAGGGTGCCAAGAGTACAGAAGTACCACAGAGGGGAGGCAGGGGGAGATTTTGTTGTCACTTCTCACTATTTACCGATGTAAGCCCAGGCCCCTGCAGCCCTGCCAACGCCAAAGACAGTAAATCTGTAATTGCCGAGCAGTTAATAATTTCCATTTTATCTTGAACCAAAGTGTGCCAGTGCAGGGGGTTGTAAATCATGGTGGGAATTTCACTTTAGTAAAGAGACTTACATCTGTTAATGAGCACAGAAAGCTTCTGGGTCATTCGTATTCACCAGAATCTGAGCAACCCCTGCATCAACAGTATGATGTCCAACTCTAACCCTTGACCTGTACCCTCTGAATACAGCCAAGATCCACTTAAAAAATAAGAAAATAAAAAATTAATTCTGTCTGTCTGTAATTACGGCATCAAGCTGAAAGTACACTCCAATAAATTCAGTTATAAACAGATCACGATTCTCTGGTAATCCCATAAAAAAATTAGTCTGCTAAAACAACAAATAATTGACTAAATAATATTTAAATCTGCTGAAACAGAAAAAAAACTTTAAATGTAAAATGACTCTGGTTGTAATACTGTCTATACTTGCCTTTAAACAAGGGAAGAGATAATTTCCCCCAAATCAAAATTATTTCCATTTAAGAGCAAAAAATAGCTGTTTTAGAAAACTTTTAGAAATCAGGCTGCTCAGCAGCATCCTGAACACCTGCTCCATGTCGGTACGTTCACAGTGTAGTACAAAGACATCCATCCTGGCTTAAAGTGTGTCCAATGCTGTTTTAAGATTATTTAATATTTATTAGAGCAGGTAGAAAACCTGGGACTATTCAAGAGATTGACAGTTGACTTACAGTCTTAATGGGCTGCCAATCTGCCACCGGATGAGCCATCTTACAAACTAAATACTCACAAAATGTAGAGGTAAGCAGTTTTACCAGAAATGTGGCTGTTTTATAAGATTTAACTTGGATTTACATGTTTTAAAGCATTTCCAAGGCTTATTGTGGTTTGGCTGTCTGCAAGACAACCCAGAGATGTTGTTTTAGATACTGGAGTAAAAAAATAAAAAACATATATATATATATATACACACACACACACACACACACAATCATTTTTTTACTATGGTCCAAACTCTGGCTTTCAGAGCATGATGAACCACATCCAAAGCCACAGCTCATCTAATCAAAACACAGCCAGATGTTAGAGAGCTCTAAGCAAACTGGATAAGGCTAAAGGAATCGTTTATAAGGATTTGAATGTTCACCTACACCGAGATCATCTGATCCAGGGAGCTGAAATAAATCCAGACCACGGTTGTAGCTTTTTGTGATTATTAAAGCGTCACTCACTAAACTCCCATTATAGGACCTGGTGTCAACTGTGACACAACTGAGGTACAGACAGAAAAACCAGACTTCCTGGATTGTTGCAGAGGTCAAAGGTTACGGCAGCTTCGTGGCTGCAATAGTATGGCATTTAAACTTTAACCTACGACTGACCAGAGGGGTCAGGACACTGGAGCACAGCAGCTGTTTCTACTCTGCGTCCCAGTTTCAATGTCAACATAAGTGGTGTCAGCGATGTCATCACAGAGGGACCGGAGAGGGAGATGTTGGCAGACAACAACGCAAGATTGATGTGTGCAGACAAACACCACACACAGAGATGCCAGCGAGCATAAACGGACACGCTTCGGTAAACTGAGTGTGATGTGGCACATGGCGTGTCCGGAAGACTCGGAGTAAGGGCCAGCCTCTGGTTAAGTTGTTTTCCTGGAAGAGTTTGAGATGACATGCAGCTTTGAGGAATGTACCGAGCAGCGAGGCTGCAACCGGGACATTCTCAAGAGGAGCTGCATGTGTGCGCGCAGGACAAGACCAGCTGCACAAATGAGGGACAAATTAGGGAATATTTACAATTACTGATGTGGAATTTTACCAAATTACGAGGGGAAAAAAAAAACTAAAGTTATGAGTAATGTTGACACATTTCCTTGTTTTCTTTTCAACATGCTTATGACGATATGGTTTCTCCTGAGATCCTTCTTGGTTGCTTCCTAAGTCCAACTTGCTGTCTTCCTCTGGACTTGATAAGGAGTCCAACCCTCTTACCAAATGCTCAAATATTACACTTGTGTGTTTTAAAATTTGTGATAAATGACACATTGAGTTTCAAGGGACCTTTCCAGAGTCTGGGCTGACGTCTCTTTACAAGCCCGTCATCAGTTGTTTAACCGTTCACCGTCACCTGCACATGATTAAAGAAATCTCAGCCTGGACAACCCCCTTCCTAAAAAATAAAAAAAAAAACACTAATGCCAAGAGGGTTCACAGGAATCTCCCGCTTTACGTCAAGATGCTTCAACAAATCCACAGAAAGGCAATTTAATTAGGATAGTACTAACATTCGGTTATTTGTTGCTTTGTTTTGATGCTAAACCCAGCAACGTAGGTTGCATCCGCTGTTAATAAATGCTAAATCTGTTGCTTACAACTAAGCAAACTGAATGTTCAGGTCATTGAATGTTTAGTCTGCCTACACACGCACACAACCACAGTTTGTGCACCGACACCTTGTGGTTAAAACGTGTTACTGCCGCAACAACAGACACAACATGGACACAACATTGATGATTTAACCGACATTTTCCACAAGTCCTTCAAGTTTCAGGGGGCCTCCACGTCCGTGTACCTTAAAAATACACATTTCGTTATCAGTTTAACGTTTTTGTTCTTTTCATTAAGAGGCTCGTTGAAAGCATGGAGCTAATTGATTCATTTTAACTGCCTTAATTGAGTCTTCCGGTTAACGCACACTGTTGCCTACCAAGCTGCTAAAGGGGAAAAAAAGAAAAAACTTGATAGCCTACATGTTTTATCTTATGGCTGCAAAGTAAACAAAGAGTCGTTAAGGTGCTATGAACAGCTCCACTAATTAGCTGAAAAGTGGACAAGGGGAGGTTTTATGAAGTGGCACTTAATTAAGTTTTTTTTTTTTTTTACCTAACAACATAACTTCCAGCTTCTTTCGGTCCACTCGAAACCTCTCCTCGGTCCATTCCGGGTCTGGCAGCGGATGGGGGCCGCTGAGGTCCTCCTCTGATCCCGGGAGGGGAGAGTCGGTGCTGCGTTCGCTGTTGGAGCCCTGGTCCGACTGCTGCAAGTATCCACTTAAAGTGTCGCACTGGGCAGCCATTGCGCTGCACGCGAGCTTCTCCCGGGGCCACTGCGATGTATTTAAAGTTAAGACGAGCTAAAACAAAGAGCTGGACGTTTGTTTATAAAAAAAAAAAAAACTTTTCTCCCGTCACTTCGTGGCGTTGGGCAAGCTCATGGTAGCGCAGTTGAGTCTGTTCTCTGCAGTTTCTTCAAGCCCCTTCGCTTTCCCCCATTGGGCAGACTTCTAAAAATAGGCAGGAGCACTCCGGTCCAGTTGCTGTATGTTGTCCGTCTGCCGAGCTAACGGAGCACCGCTCAGCACACATACCAACTAATTCCTCGGGAAAGTTTCACGTGTCATCCTGCAGGGGAAAAAAGAAAAAAGGCAGGACTCCTCCCAGAAACTTTTAGAGCATCGACTTCCCTCTGGGCTGCTGGGGCGACCTCCAAACTTCACTGGACTTAGTTTGCTTTATCCACCGGAGTCACAAGTGAACGCATCACTGAGAGGAAACATTAAGCCAGGGTTATTTTAAGTATGCAAAATGGGCCACAAACGACGTTGGCTTGCATGGCAAGTCATTTCCATATGCCAGTTAAACAGACATCCCATTTTGTGGACATCCCGGTTTGATTGATAATGTTATTTATGTTGAATTAGTGCCCAAAGAAAGCCATTATATTAAAAAAAGAGTGCACGATAAGCGTGTTGCAAACTGAGGCTGAGCTCAGTAGCTGCCAGGGTTAAAGGTCACGGGAGCTGTTCATGCAGCAGGTTTGTAGAGGAAAAACTCCTAAATTAAACGCATCAGGGTGTTGCTTCTCATTTTCTCCTAGAAATCCATTTTACCGTGTTCCTGTTTATATAGAAGAGTGCACTTGGTATTCAAATTCAGCTCCTGAGCTGCATAAGAAACATGTTAAACACAAAAACTTTATTATGAAAACATGATTTCATTTAGTAATTTTTCTGTCACAGAACACACTCCTCTACTTTTAATACATTACATTTTTTGGGGGTGCATATACTTATCTAGCTTTACATTAATAGCTTTTTAAAAAATGTATTTATGAAGAGTAACCTCTATTTGTCAGCATCATGTTTTGATTAAATGAGTCCGTAGTAGTGTCTTATCCTCAGAACCAGTTGCCTGACAGGTCAGTTACACATCATGTTTTCACCTGACTTAAAATGTATGCGCAAGTTTGCATGCCAGCGTCCCAATAATTTACTATAAAATGTATTTTTAGAGCTGGTGCAGTGAGTGCAAAAGAGGGAAAACCACAGAGCAACATTACCACACTGTTCTCAGCCAACTTATGGTTTGCATACAGTGCATATTTAATAATTTCATCACAATGTTCATGCTGATGTCTGATAAGTAAAGGTGAAGGTGACCTGAAACAGCAGAGCTTTAAACATTTCCCCAAAATGTGCAAAAGGTAAAGCAGGCATTGAGTACTTATTTTGATTCATCATCATCATCTGTTATTTTTTATTCTGTCGGGTTAAACCATACTGCATATACCCAATAATCTGATCAAACAGCATTAAATAACACTGCAGCAGTTCAGCTTTCCAGATTACTGTACGATTATCCTGTACCTGAAAGACAGATTCCACTCTGCAGCATAACAGCATAATGTACCATGCTCGTATACGGAAACTTCAAACAAGACTACGCATTATATCCAGATAATGTTTATATACCAGTATATATAAACACTAAACAAAAAATGTACTACCAAAAGCAATCATAAAGGTAAATACTGTCTGAATACACTTTACCTTTATGATCTTCAATCTAAGCTTGGTTAATTTAACTTAATGTATATTCATATCATTTCAAAATTAGTACTTCAATTTAATGTCAATTTACACACCCTCATCACGGAAGCAAGACCCCACAATAATCCCAAAGCACATGAGCAACCATTTATCAAACTGAGCTCAATTAAATAATTCAAATGAGCTCAGTTGGCAAAATATGGCATTTAATTTAAATGCCAAAAAAACATGAACTGGTCCAGATGATAACTGCCTCATAAAAAGTGCGAAAGCACAAAGCAAAGGCTGCCATCTAGAGGTCATGTAAATAAGGAAATTTCATTAAAAAATAAGATGGTTTATGGTGCTCACTGAACCCAACATTGTACAACAAGATCAAATCTTATTTCAGTTCACACAGATCTTGTAGAAAAACAATTTGATCACTTTTTGCTTTATGTTTTTAATTTACAAAAAAAAGAAAATAATTTCAGTAAAGTTTTATACAAAAGAAATCTTCTAAAAGAAAACATAAGCTTTCCATCTCAGCACATCTAATAATCAAAATGATAATAATAACAATAATGGCAAAGTATTGCTAAATATAAAATAAAAAGGTAAGTCAAGTAAAATCTCAGTAGAGAAAGTGCTTCAAGCATATCGAACACCTCAGCTACCACCAGTGTGGATAAAGCAGTTGAACAGTACTATCATATTTTGAGGAGTCCTGGAAGGCGTCACCGTTTCTCAAACATCACTCCATCACATTGCATATCTCTGGGTCCATTCTCTGGCCAATTTGTTGTACCTGTAAAGGGAAAATCCGATGAAAGACTATTCTGCAAGTCAGGGTTTTCCCTCATGTCAAAGTGTCTGGTTTTGATGCTTACTTTTGCCTATCTGACTTGTAGATGTGAGCGATGTCAGGAACCAGGGGATCATCTGGATTTGGGTCACAAAGCAAGGAGCATATGGATAGTAAAACTATTGGGGGGAAAAGAGAAGAAACCAGTTAGCACAGAGGTTTCTATTAAATATAACTTTTCCAGCTCCAAATGCCACATATACGTTCAGAACATACCCCCCCACCCAAATCAGCTTGGACACAGCCAAAACCCTAGTATTTAATTAGAGAGAACTCACCTAATTGCACTATCTGCACAAATACTGCACACATGACATCCAGAGATGCTCTGACAGGATTAATTTTGGAGCCTACACATCTGATATTTTCTAGCTAGCTTCCCAAAATAATCTCTGGAAGATCACCGAGTGGGCTAACGTGTGGCTGTGGCAGCTATGGTGCAGTCCATTCATCTCCAAATGTGAAAGTGGAATGAT